CCCCAAAACCCCAAAACCCCAAAACCCCAAAACCCCAAAACCCCAAAACCCCAAAACCCCAATATTTTGTCTACATATTGAGAATAGATCTTTCTACATGCTTTTAGAGATGAAGAAAGGAATAGTGGATCTTACATACATATTAGCTTTTAGACTTAAGCTCCTTCTTTTTGTTGAGGGTAATATGCGAAAGCTTGTAGTTTTTGAGAGTACTTGATGGATCTTCATTTCCAAATGAAGATCCATGAATTCTTATCTCCTTCAAAGAATCCTTCAGCCCTGATTCTGAAATAGCGTTACATAGTAAGCCAAAACTATAGCTAGATTCATTGATGTTGCAATTTCTTAAGCTTAAATATCTTATCTTGTACTCTTCAAATCCAAAATCAAGGAAATCATTTAGATTAAGATTGCCATATCTAAAGCTGAGTCCATCGTTGATATGTGAGACTGACCTCATTATCTCATTAAGGTCTTCTGTAGACACACTGAAATAAAAGAGCCAAAGATTTTTCTCAATTCTTCTAGCAACATTAGCAAGTCAAGGCACATATTCACTGATATCCAGGCCTTTCCCCTTCTTGTACTTATGTTTGGCATAATCATTGATTCCAAGGGTATCTATCTTGTGCCAGATTGAGGATCCTAGAAGCATCTTAATGAAGGTATTCCCCTTCCCAAGATAGTAAATGTAGATCTTCTTAATACACTCTGGCAGATAATATTTTCTTCCAAGATCTCTGACTAGATCTCTTGTCCAATTAGAGTTAAGGTCTATAGCAAAGACTCCATCCATGAAGTAGGTTGACCCCTTGGGTCTTCCTTTCATCTTTTCTTTGATAAAGCTTCTGAATTCCTCTTCATTGAGTTCGATACGATTTGGATCCTTGACTTCATTAGAAATAGTAAGCCTTCTTTGTAACACTTCAGATTGTTTTTTCTGGAATGATTTAAGTTCCTCTTCAGTAAATTGAGACTTGTAGAGTTCTACTTCATCCTTAAGATCATTGAGCTGGTGCTCATTCTGTTCGAGTTTGATGTTAAAAGCCTTGTCTTGAACTTTAATCTTGCTCATTAGACCTTTAATTTCTTTAACAATTAGTTCTGGAGAATTCGACAATTTTTCTATGTCAATCTTGCTCATATCCATATCGATGTAAGAGCTAGTTGGCTTTGTGTCCCACTAAAAGATTAGCAAAAGGATATTTACCTGAAGATTTTCAACTGAGGCTCCTCCATTGTCTTTAATCATGGTGTTCCTTATTTTAGACCTGAAATAATTTCTATAAAAGTCATGGAGAAATCTTACAAGAAAAGTTGAGAGTCTTCAGCATATTGTTCCATTTTTAATCGAATTATCTCTGCCTCTTTACACACTAAAGAGATCTTTTCTTGATCTTCATTTTTCAAGGCTTTCTTTTGGTGTGAAATCAGGGATTGAATTTCACACTTGAATTCTTCAAGGATCTTTTGTACATCCTCATAATCTCTCTCTGAATAAGAGATGAGCGAACCTAAGATAGTCTCTGAGTTAAATTCCATCAACAATTCTCAAGTCTTTTCTGCCCTTATTACTAAACTAGAACAAATATCTTGGTCATATAAGATTTCATCTTCTTCAACTTCCTTTATCTCCTCATATTCTAGACAATAAGACCCCACCCTAGATGAAAAATCCATTTCTAATCCCTTCAAGCAGGTCTAAAACTATCTATCTGACCTCCTTGATCAATATTAGTCAATTTTTTTTACCACTTTCAATCAAATCCATAGTTTTCTACCTTTTAAAAATTCAATAAATCCTCACTTCATAGGGGTTTTGGGGTTTTGGGGTTTTGGGG